TCCCGCCTCTCAACACACTTTAACAGCTGTGACAATAACTGCCGGAGCTCTTTTTTTTTGTCCTGCTGCAACCTCTTAAAGTCATCCCCAGGTCTGTAAAGTGAAATCATAAAAATGACCTTGTGAGGTTCCTGTCTGTCTTTAATGAGTGTTTTCAAAACAGCCTCATTTTAAGTGCTGGTTTGTTTTTTTGTTTTTTGTTTTTTTTTTTTTTAATCCTTGCATTCCCAATTTGTGCTCTGGAACATGCTGGGTACTTTCTTTCCCACAAACCTTCATAGGAAAAAGAGATTTGCAAGCTAAACTCTGTCTTTTGTGAAATTTTCTGTGTGTCTTTTTCTGCCCAGATATTCATGCAAGGGGAAACAATTAACTTGCAATTGTTAAATCTGTATATAGTGCATACAAGGGATTAATAGCCAGATTACTTTCTCCTTGCTGGATTAGTTCTGAAAGGTTAACAAGAGGAAAATGGAGTGTGCATGTCTTTATTTTCATTGATGTCACTTGAAAAAGCATGAAATGCACAGAAGTCCAGGTATGTACAATGAGATAGTGGTTTAGGGAAGAGGTTTTGGTCTTGGTCTTTTTGCTGTTTGTTTTTCTTTTTTTTCCACATGAATTACAATATTCATGTTTTTCCTGCTTCTGGTTGAACATGGAAGTCAGTTGTCCATCTCAAGAAATATTCTGATTTATGCTAAAAAGTAGGACTATGTTGCTTATTTACACAGGGTTTTTTTGGTTGGTTGTTTTTTTTTTTTTTGGTTGGTTGGTTTTTGGTTTTTTTGGGGGTTTTTTTTAATTATTCTCATGATTCTAAATGAGAGAGAAGGACTGCTGTTTGGACCCCCACCAATTAATCTGCTTGGCACATTGCACTTCAGCTGAATAGAGTGGATATCGTAAACAAGTTCTTCATTTGCACAACCAAGACACATCAGTCCAAACATGCTCTGGAACATAATACAACTTATTTTACTGTTTTACTCTTCCTAGTCATATAATAATCCTTAGAAGGAAATAGTGGCACTGGTCCATTTAGCTAACTGCTTCAAGTCAAACCTATGGTGTCCATCTATCCTGTTCAAATTTGGTTCAGCAATGACATTTTCCCAAAAGAGAGCAGGGGCTTCTACCCAAGAAATGGCACCATCAAGAGAGCACCATCAAGAAAATCATCAGCACCTTGTGCTGGAAGGGAAGGAAGGGATGACCAAGAGGCAGTGTCCTACAGTGGCAAAAGTCTCCAGTGTCCTTCGTGAAAATGATCTAAAGCTTTGCCAGAAAGCAACTTGTCACCTGCCAGCCCGAGCAATGTGCTGTGAAATCTGTGTGGGATCCTCCTTTCCGCGCTCTTCAGTTTTGGTATGTTCGTTCTGAATTTATTATTCTTAATACAACTTTAATCTTTTTTGTACCATGTAACAATTTGTTTCAAAAATAGTTGGTGTTATGGAAAACAGCAGACTGTACTGAGAAAAATCATGTTTCAGCAAGACTCTTAGTGCAACTCTTAGCACCCTGCATACAGATTTTAGAGTGGAAAAAAAGTATTTCACAACTTGTCACACATCCACCCTCTTCCATTTTGGGGTTTGTTTGGGTTTTTTTTTCATTGTCTTTCTCAGTCACCTCTAGGAACAATTACTTGGGTCAGCTGGCTAGATAAGTCATCTTGCTGGAGGACTCTAAAAACAAAGTGGCCATCTGTATATCGAAGGCAATTGGTCAAAAAGTCAGAACAAACAGCTGTAGCTACATAAGGTCATGCCCTGGAAATGGAAATCAAGTGAACAAGCAGAAAGAGAATGTGCATAAACTAGAAAATGCAAATAACTGTTTTTAGAAGAAAAAAATAAGAGTGATACAGAGTAGCTAAAGCAGGCCTGATTAGGAGACACATGCTTATAGGGGAAGAGAGATAATTCTGAAATTGGGATGGGCTCTGGAGAAATATGTCTTGACTTACACAATTATGCACAAGAAGCAAGAACCAGTATGGACTGTGTAGCATAAACAGCATATAAAGAATAGCACATAAACAGGGGAGATTTTTTTGCTTGGAGAAGGCTTTTTTTTCTTTTTTTTTTTTTCTCAAAGTCAAGGGAAGACTCAGCCATGAAGGGTCTCTATATGCACTATACCGAAGTATCAACAGTGCTTGCAGGAATTTTTTGTCACCCCCATTTGCTGACAAAGGGGCCATAGTTCAAGTGTTTGCACGCTCTGTGAGTGCACTATGACTGGCCTGTGTCACAGTTTCCCAAGTTGATGGAAAAACAAGAAGGCAACAGAGGAAACAGAGGCCTGTCATGGAAAGTAGCCAACATGAAGACACCAAAAAAGCTGCAAAAAGACAAAAGAATTCAGAGTAAAAGACAACCCCAACCTTGTCCGTGCTTCCCAAGGTCAAAAATCTTCACCTCCTCCCTCCTTTCTGCATTGGTAACTTCTTCCAGATATCCTGGCAAATAATTTCTATGGAGAGACACTAGGAAAGAGAGATGGAGCCTCCTTGAAGCTCTGATTCTTTCTTCCCTACTGACTGGTCTCCAGATACAGAAACACGGCTCAGTACGAGTAGAGCTATAGCTGGAAGTTTGTGCCTCTGTTTTGAAACCAGCCCAGCGCCACTGCTTCCCAAGTTAGAGCCCAAAAAAACACTTCAATCTGGATTGTCAACCAAACAGAAAAGGTAGGAGGGTCAAAAACGAGCACAAAGGTCTGGCAACAGTGAGATTACCAGCAATGCACTCTTTTCCACAGGGGTATGCAAAAGGTAAGATTAATTACAGCCCCCCTGCCCTTGCTGGATGATAGGACAACAGACAGAGAAAATAACAACAGGAAAAGTGTTCTTATCATCCAAAAGGTCTTTGTTGCAATTTTTTTTTTTTCCATCTTTGTAAAACATTACATCATAAAATAAAGATAATAGCAGCAAAACTTATCAGGATGGTACAAGCACATTCTGCTCTGTACCCTGGTAATGACGTTTATGAAATTGTCCCTTTTCTGAAAATGCCATTCTAAAGCACCATAAACTCTTACAGAGAGAAAGAGGGACAGAGACAAGTAAGTGTAGACAGAACATCCTTGCAAGTGGGTTTACTGATTGCTTATACAATAATTTGAAATTAATCAGGAAAAATAATAGATCGGCATCCCACTGAAATGTTTCTCCAAATTTTAAAAAAGCTTTTTTCTTTAAAATGCAAGGCTGAAAATGTCTAATCATGGTTTCCCAGCCCTGTCCACAAGGTCCAGATCAAATTCTATTAGAACTTGAAAAAAAATCAGCCTGAAACTACATTGTAACACTGACCTGAATAAATTACAGTTTTGGGGAAGCTGTCATCCAGATACAAATCCTTCCCTTTTCTAATTATAGCTACTACATGATTCCAGAATTTGAGAAACTGCTAAATGGTAGGCTGAAAGCTGGTTTATTTGGCTTACTTCTCACAATAGGCACCATGAGTTTTCTTCTTTAAGCACCCAGCTCTCACAAGGAAAAGAGAGTGTGTGGGTGGAATATATTTGGGAGACTAAAATTATTCTCTCTCACATGCCAAATATCACCTGCCTATGATTTGCTTACAAGGAGTTCAGCCAAGGAAATCAAACTGTAATTGCCTCAAAAGGCTTCCTGCTGGAGAAGCGTCTGCTTTCCCCCAGAAGAAGCAGCAGTCGTATTTCCTAGCGATAAGACTCAGCTCAGACATGACCTGTAACCAGAGATGAGGGAGCACAGAAGTTCACATTGACCTTCATGGAGGTGAGTGGGACATCACCACTAAATCTGTGTGCAAGAGAAGATTACACATGCCACGTGAAGGGTGGGCACGTGCATGTGTTCACATGGGGCCTTTTTTCAACCAGTTCCTGAGAACTCAGCGGTATTTTGGGTAAGACCTACCTTTAGAGTGACCTGCTCAACCCAGCATGATCTAGCTCACTGAGCATGTGCTGGCTACACCAGGACACCTCCAAATTAGCGTTTGCAACTGCTTCATCAGTGTTTGATTTCAACAGCATGAGCCAACAGAGTCTAACATCATTATGTACTTCAGTTGCACTGGCAGGAGGAAAAAAATATGGTCCAGGTCAGCAACAGTATGGAGGGTAACTGGTACTGGTAGCAAAGGAGATGGGGACCTCAGGAAGAATGAGGCAACCTAGAGGAATTTTTAGATCTGCAATTTTTTGATGATATATTTCAGGCAAGTAGTTTCACACATTAATCTACAAGCCTTTATTTGAGTTTCATAGATTTGTGTTGATTTGCACTTGTGTTTTCATTGATATTTAATTGCCTAGGGAATTGTTTCTGACGCTGTGCTTATTTGTATTTAGTATTGATATAATGCCATCCCAGTAAGTGTAAATGGCACTGTAGAGATGAGTTAAAACAGCAGGTCTTTGCTCTAAAAAGCTTTAAAATAACAAGCTAGCTCCACTTTACTGCACTGATTTAAAGGGGACAGATTTTGGCCTTAGATTAGACAAAACAGTTCAGAACAAATAGATGTACAGGAAGGACTGAAGCAGTTACCAGTCACTTTTTAAATCTGTTTAGTAGAAGACTTCTTATTCTAGGTTAGTACGCAACATAACATAAAGCTTGCTCTTTGCCTGTTATTTATTTTAAGTGGATGATGGGAAAAGTGAGTCTAGCAGACATCGTGCAACCTGACAACACAAATAAGCCCCTGAGAAAACCAAAGCTGGCAAACAAAAAGCCCATGTACAGCAGAAACTCAAATTCTTCAAGAAAATGCAGGGGGTTAAGGACAGGGGTTTTTAAAACCCTGAACTCACAGACAGTTGTGGGTTAGAGAATTTTGCAGGAAGTCTCTGGCATAGACCACTAATGGCTTTGGCAGAAGCAGACTTGTACTAGAGACATCATAAAGCCAGACAGCAGAAGCTCTGATGATTTATAATTTCACAGCAACAAACAAAATCAGATTTCATTAATATAAACCACTGCAGGTTTTATTTACTATTATTTCTAATAACACTTATTAGAAATAATTTTCCCTATTAAAGAATAATGAAATCCATAGACTGTCACATGGATGAAGTTACAAACCTTTTCAAATCTGCTCATGCAAAATCTGCACAACTTCAGTGATGGTCAGTGGTTCAGGAGGATCTCCAAAGGAGCATGCCAGAATACTCCTGTACAAGACAGTAGAAAGTGGGAATGCAGAGCTGAAAGCTGTAGGAAAACAGAAGCTGAGTTGTCCTCTATGTGTGAGGGCTGTGGCTACAGAAAATCCATGTTTCCTTTGTTCTTTCAGGTCCTAATTCCCATGTCAAGTCACGCTATGCTCAGGGCAGGATCTAAGAGTTAAAGTCAGTAAGTCACCCTTTGGTTTGACTTTTTGTTTTCAGGCTGCTGTGAAGTGTGTAATTTAGAGCAAGGAGTTTTGGATATGGTTCAGACTACCTTTTGCTAAAACTTTCAATAATGGTGGAACAGCCTCACTAGAAATAACTTCACAAGTTTTTTATAAATATTATTAAAAGCTAAAGGATGAGAATTTTAGCCATAAAAACACTTGATGTTTGAATTAAGATTCTCTCCCAAGCTGTTGCATACAACTAAAACCAAGGGATGGCCTTTAAAAACGGGAGAAGCAATTTAGGACATTAAAACGTTATTTTAGTTGCCAGACATTTCTGTTTGTCCCTCTATGCAATACAGCATTTGTACTTCCCATATTATAATAGAAATTATGTATATTGAGGTATTTAATAGGCAGTCATATAGGAGAAATTATTTACTCCAGTAGCAGACACAGCTTTCTCAGCAAGTTTCACAGACACAGAAATGAGTGGGAATGAAAAAGAGCATTTTGCTTTCATGTAAAAGGTCATCAAACGCTCTGTTCAGTATCGCAGTGGGAGTTTATTCAGCATCACCCATTGTCCCTGAAACTGTCATATCCCAAACCAGCAGTTGCTGGAGACACAGCTGATAAGATGTCAGCTGGGGACTTCTGCACGGCCTGGCCGGGCAGAAACTGGACACACACACCACCAGCCAGACTCTGGACAGGGGACAGACTGAGACAAAAGTTTAGAGATGAAAGTTTAGAGGTGAAGAATATGCCAAGATTGCATTGTCCTTCTATCCCATCAGAGCAACCAGTTCTGAATCTGGTCACCAAATTTTGCCTCCTCAGTCACTTTGTCCGTGCTAACTTGTTTTCCATGATTTGACACTGTCCAACTCCTTGATCACACAGACTTTTGCTTTCCCTGACCCCAGTCAGCAGAAATGCTCTGGCTGTGACTAAGATTTATATTTCACATACAGGAAATGCATCTCCCATATCCTTACAGCTGCCTGTGCATCTGTGCAAGGCTTTTCATTACAGGCAAGCATTTCTTGCGAGAACTCAGTTGAAGAACAAATAACACTGCATGCATGATGTTGGTTTTGGCATCTGGTAACCAAGGAGAAGCGTTAGCATAATCTGTATGTATTCCATGCTTTCAGAGTCACATGAGATGCTTTCATGTGCCTGATCCTTCATACAAGCAAAGTGCAGGATGGTGTAACCAGGCAGTGTTTTAATACCTTGACAAATTGCATGTCTGAGCTCTTCTGAACCTTGTTTGGAATTCAAAAGTAAATCTCGGTTGTAGCTTTATCTCCTAACTTCCCACCAGGCCACAGTAAATCCCCAGATCTGAGCAACGTAAAACCTTAGTATACCAAGTATGCTTCATCTACCCTGGCCCTATGGAATTATCACAACAAGATCCACCGTATTTCTGAGTCAGACTACAAAAGATTTGCTCACGTGTGGCACAAGAGGCTGGACATCATCCCAGGCCTGCCCAAAACGAGGGGCAGCAGGAGGGTCCAAGGACTCCCATGCTCAAACAAACCTGCTTTCTGCTGGTGTCTGCCTGCAGCCTGAGGACGGGCTCTGAGCACGGACACAAGCTGCCGTCTGCATCACTGAAAAAAGCACAGCGCTGCATGGCACAAAAGCCTTCAGGAGCCATGGCAGCTCTTGAGTCAGATGAGAAATTTCCTGGGGGCTGGGCTTACTGCCATGCCTCCAGTAAGCTAAAGCCAGAGCACAGCCCTGCACCTTAAGAAATTCACCGGTGAACTAAACAGAATTCAATTTCTGTTGGATCTCATTGAGTTAAAGCAATCCCAAATGACCTGAAATTTTTCAAACATTGTTTTTTCATCCTTAATTTTCAGGCAGTTAACAAAATTAGAAAGATGATATGATATTTCAAGTGAAGTGAACCAGCAGACAGAACATACTAAGAACTTCTTTCCTCCTCTCTACTAGTGGTATTGGGCTCACTCCTAAAAACTGTGCAGTCAATTAGATATACAAATATGCATACTCAAAATTTGCATTTCCATTGCCATGCTTCCGTTCACAGCCGTGGCAAACATGTATTCAAGTGACCGGTTAGATTTTGAGTTGGCTCATTGTGCATAAAATCTCAGAAACTATCCCAGAAAATGAAGCGTGCATTTCTGTGTGTGCAGACATGGGCATGCAATTCCAAAAGTCTGTGTCTGTATGACCTGCGAGTGTCTGTATGTTTGACTACCTTGTAAGACTCGGCCTGTCTCTGCTATCTACATCCATGCCTACTTTAAGCCTACGGTTTGAACTGCAGGATATTTAGGACTTTGTGAAGGCGCAGGGAAAGCATCACTGGTGCAATCATGTATCTCATTTCCAGCATGCAAAATCTTCTATCTGCAATGGCAAACACAGTAGCTCACAGGCTGAGGCTACCAAAATTTAGTGTGTTTTGCAATTCCCACTCATTATTTTGCAGCCTTTTCTTTGAATATTTACTGTGAAGTCAAGGGACGTTTGTATTTCTTACATCCAGATGTCCAGACACCACAAAGGATTTTTTAAAAATGCCCACAGTTTAGTTACATTTCACTTTAGTCTAGAAATGCAAAGAGCTCATGTTTAGATTTTATCAAGAAAAGAGATAGCAAATGTCAAACAAAGTACCTGAAAGGAAATAAAACAAATAATTGAAAATACTTGTTAAAAAAGTTACAAAATATGACAGCATTAATGGCACTTAAAGCTATAAGCACTTAAAAGATTACCACCATATTTTTCTCAACTTCTTTTCCTAAATTTCTTTTTTCTTTTTTTTTTTCTGAGATTATGACTGCAGCTCATGTTTAAACCGAAACCCAACAAAACGGGTAGAGAGCCCTGAGATTCTATGGTTGCCCTGGCCCTCATTTGAATAGCATATATACTCTTATGCCTATTTTAAAATTTCAGATTCAGCTACAGAGAACAGCAATTTGCTGACATGCAAAAGCTATAGCTTTCCTTCTGTCTTCATAGTCTTACAGCATTAAAACTGAAGGTTTTTTTCCAGTGGTAGAAAGTGTGAATGAGAAATTCTTTTAAAAAAACAGCTGGCCCACTGTTTTATACACCTAGCCAAATACCAGTAAATTAATGTTATTCTTCTTTTAAACAACATAGCACAAGATGTTGTATTTTCTTCATATGTACTTTCTTGCTGTGAGTTTACATTGAATATTTCCTACATGATAAAAAAATCCATTTGTTTCTTTTCCTTTTGTTTTGTTTTTTTTTTTTGTCGCTAGTTAAGATAAATACCCACAGAGTTTTTTTCTTTTTTTTTTTTTTTTTTTTTTAATGAAAAGAGTAATCCGACCCTTAAATATGTCTGTGTTGATTTTTCAAACCAGCACCCAGCTGGTGGCTGTGTCCATGGACATTCTTTTGGAGTTTAGAAAGATAATGCATCTGATTCAAAAATGGAGAAAGAAAAAAGATCTAGCTTGGATCACGTGCCAAAACATAAATTAAGCCTTACTGAAAGTTTCTAATTCACTCCAATCATTTCTCCTCTTTTTAATCACCAGGGAAAGGCTTTAAGAATGCATACTCCATTACAAAGATACACTCTTTTTCATCCCTTTCAGACTCTCTTCTTATACAACTGCCCTTTGTCTAACATTATGCCATGGTAGGAGGAGCACTCTGGTGATATTGCCATGGTTCAGTCTCTTCCTTTGTGTCTTCCCCTGGTAATCTTATACAGGCTGAAATTTCCATGTGCGTAGCTTTCTGTTGCCATTCTGCAGTGCTGTGTTCCTGAATTGTTTTGGCAGAGCAAGCTTGAGTCTTTATGGCACAGTGAAATATTCTTCGATGCTATATAATTCAGACTGAATAAGGAGTCTGTATAAGGCACGTGTCTCAATATATATATGTATATAAAAACACTAACATTGTTAATTCAAGTCAAGCATCTTTTACATTTAATTTCTGTCTTCAAGTAATGCTTTGTTTTCATGTTCCCTTTCTTTGGTTTCATTGGGGATCACTCCATTCTCCAGGTCTGAGTGCTGCTGGATGCAGCTGGTCAGGACTGCAGTGCTAGAAGAGTTCTCAGAATTACACATCTTCTCTGTCTCCTCTTCCTTTTTTTCTTCATCCAAGGAGTAGTTTCGGAAGGTCTCATAAATTTTACGCACATCCTCAGGGATGGTCTTTTTGAGGTCTTTGTTTTTCCTTTTGGTCATCTTAGCAGACGATCCAAACTTGTTAATGATGTTGTCCTCGGATGCCCCCTGCCCATGCTTGTTGAGCTGTTCTGACCCTTTAAGGCGCAGGTTGTTAGGCCTGTTGTTGATGCTTTCCTGAGATGAGGCCTTGAAGCGTCCTGTTTCCAAGGCAGTAAAGACAGAGCGCTTCTCTGGAGAGAGCATGTCCAAGGAGTGGGCTCGCTGGTCCAGGCCCAGGCGCCTGCGCTCCATGCTCCGGATGGTGGCTGCTCGCTGAAGTTTGTCGTGGATCTCCACGCTGAGCCGCCGCCGCGTCTCTCTGAACTCGGCCGTCACGTTCGCTTTCCACTCAGCTGCATGGGCTTTTATTTCTCCGACCTTTACAACGACAGGAAAGAGAAATTCGTTTTAAAAAGAAAAAGCAAAACGAAGCGACGGTCTTTCCTGTGGAAGAGCAGCTCAAGCACTTTCTCGTCTGGTGTAGAATCAGAGACCGGTCCCAGCTCCAGTGCATCCATCTGGACCCAAACTTCCACAGAAAAGTGGCTATACTGGGCAAGCTCTAAACACACCAACTAGTGACTAGCTAATGGCTTGTGTGGCATACAACTTGTTTGCCTATTTCTCATTTTGCCACCCTGTACATTTTATAGCTATGTTACGTGATGGGAGGTGTTCATGCTAATCCCTCCTTAGTTAAAAGCAAAATTCCTGACTTACAATGTCAGTGGCAGATGGTCAGCAGTGAGCAAAATTAATCACCTATAGTTATACCAATATGCCTCAGGACAGCACAACAACCAGTGTAGCAACACAGTAATATATTTTCCTGTATCGCTCATGGATGGAGCTTTTAGTCCCACTGAAGGTTCTGTTCAGTTCCACAGAGCAATTAACGTTGGAAATACCTATTAGAAAATTTCGAGTGGACCTCTGACTGACCCAGTCTAGGGTTCACTCTTAGGGACAAATGAGGCTGTCTTTAATGGAGGTATCCGTTGCATAACTGTCCAAATACCACTCTCTCGAGCCAGCTGGAGGAGTTCTGTGTGGGCACCATGACCACGTCCTTAAAAGTCTTACTGCTTTGGTCTGGTTTACTCCTTTGCACCAAAGAGCAGAATAATGGCTCAGAATAAAGCACCTGTATGGCTGCTGTATTGAATAAATATTTATTCCAAAATGAGAAAAAATAAGGTAAATGACTGAGCAATATTTCAGTCAACACAGGCCTTTTCCAAAGTTCAGCTAAAGGAGAACAGATTCAGGAGTACGATATCTGCAGAAGATCACCAAAGTCAATAGTTTTCTTGGGCTGCTGTAGCCAGAACTCAGTTTCTGCATTCAGTCATCCACAAGGAAGTCATCTTTGGTTCCTCAGGCCAGATGAGCAGGTGCCCATTTATAACTGTATTACTTGTGGCAGCAGGCATCTCACGTTCACCATGAGAGATCAGATTCCCACCTATAGGTGTCTGCTGATGATCAGCCTAACAGCCAAACACTTTGTGATGCCCCTTTTATTCACGGAGATGCACAGGGGATGCGTTGGGCCTGAGGTAGCACAGATGCCTTCATAAATTAGAAACAGCAGTACCCCTCTGCCAAACTTTGTCTATGCCTGCTCTCCAGCTAACCCTGCCAGGTTAGCTTTGTTAGTAATACAGGAGGACATTGCCTTAAAAATTGAAATTATATTATTAATGTCCTCCACAATAAGCTTAAACTCTAGAGTCGTGGGAATTGCCTTTTATTTTCCACCCTTATTTCAGTGAAGAATTAGCAATACTGTCTTTGAATCACAGAGGTCATGTTCTGAATGATTTTAATCATGTTCTCCTTGATGCTGACTACTCAGTTTCTTCAATTTTTAATAACATGGTACTCGGTAAGGGGCCTGAATCTAAACTCTTTTTCAGAACTATATTCCCTGACATAGAGAAAGGTGGGAAAACTCAATATTATATAAACCCTGGTTTAAAGGCAGATTCTTGTTTCATAATGAACAGAGCCAACTAATGTCTTCAAAACCTATGCATGTCCAATTTTTAAAGAGAGAACACTGACATTTTTATCACAAGATTGTAGCTAGTTTCAAAGTGAAGCCTGACCTCTCTTATTCCATACTTGCAATCCTACTGATGTGTTCTATGTATTTGGTAGTACTGATAGAGGTCTAACAACATAGGTGGCTTCACTTGCTTTTTTTCCTCCCTTTTTGAAGGAGCTAAAGATCAGAGCTGACTGGATACCAAAGGCAGCTGGTGGAGTAAACCACGGGGAATATTGAGCATTGGTCATGCAGAGAAGCATCCTTCTTTAGACAAGCAGGAATCAGGCACTTAAGGCTCTCATAAAATGACAAATCACTGAGAAATCACTAGTCATACCTCTTCTTTTGTCTTCTTGGACAGGACTCTTAACCAGTCTCCAATCATACTCAGGACAGCAGCAAAATAGGCAAGTCCAACAAGGATCCAGAACCACACTAAGGGTTTATACCACTCCCGGTAATGGATGTCAGCATTTCCTCCTGAAATAAGCATATACTTATGCTTAGGAATCATGAGATGCCAAAATTATGACAAAATATCTGCAATTCTGAGAAATTCCAGAAAGTATTTATTGACTCTTGACAACACCACTGTAGTTCTAATAACAGACAAGAGGCCTGTCATATGGGAGGAACACAGTCTGTTCTTAATTTAAGCCTCTTTAAAATTACCTATTGTTCTGCTGCTATGTGACTGGCCAGAGCACCTAGTAAACACTTCTTCATATTGCTCATACTCTGAAGAAAGTCTGAAATTCCTACTTTGACAGTACTTGCATTTGGAAGAAAAAAGTTCAGTACAGCTAGTCTTCTTTATTCTGAACTGCCTGCAGCCTGGTAGCTGAGAAACTTTACCGTTCAACCCGCTTAAGTTATAGAGTTTCCAGATTTTTTTTGGTTTTAACTACAGGATTCAGAGACCTATGTGCAGGAGAAATAAAAGTAGATTTATCTTCCCCTCCAAATTGCGATATCTGGCAGGAAGCCAACCCTGAATCAGCCCTGATAATAAGGTTATACCATCTGCTTGAGTATCAGTTATAGGGATGCATTATCTGGTCAGTGACTTGAGAGGAGATATCAACCAAATGAAGCAAAAAATATCATATATTGATTTCATACAAGTTTTAGGATGAGCTGGTAAAACATGTGAGACATTAGGCAACTCCAATGGACTATGAAGAGCCTAAAATAAATGCAGTAGCAGCCAGGCTGCTACCTACCACAGAACAGAATAAACTTTTCCAAAAGAAAGCAACCACAATTTCATTTTTGAGAGTCCTAGTCCTAACACAGTGCTATTTGCACTGCAATAATGAAAGATAGTAAGAGTCAAGCACAGCCCTGAGCTGAAGAGAGAGTAGCAAAGAAGCCGCACAGCCACATCCCTCAATGCAGGTAAAAAACCACCACCCTTGGTGGTACCTGTGTAAATCTCTGCCTGAAAAGCAAGTCTACCAGGGGACTCAGGCAGAGGTTTGATATATTGCCTGGACTTCAGTCTTGGTTAGACCAGAACTAGACACCAGTCTGTACCTCTGTATGTTTACAGAGAACTTTTTGGATTTTCCCTCATTAAAATCACCAAACAACACAGTTCAGCATTTCCTCAGGAGCTTTCTGATATCTGAGACATTTCTACAGCTCTTTAGTTTTATCCAGACTCAGTATGAGTGTACATAGAGTGACTGAACATCCCTGTGGAAGCTCAGGCATTGGAGAATTGGCAGGGAAACAAATATTGGTGTTGATATTAATCTCTCTATATACGTCACATGAATCACTCTCTTTTTTCCAGTCTTTAAGAGAGGGAAACAGTGGGAGGTGGGGGCTGCTGTTGCTATGGCACAAGGAGGCTCTTCTGATCATATGTCCCTGAGGAAGCTTGTGTAAAGCAGATTGTCTAGATCTGTCTTGTGGAGTAATCAGGCGACTGAGAAAGTATGAGACCACTTTTTTGAGCCTTTTTTGACCACTTTTTTTCTGTTTTATTCAGGCTCCATCCACAATTGTATTTCTAACAGTAGTTCAAAAACTTTCCAAGTTTGGCAAGAGTTGGAACACATTTTAGGTGGAATAAATCATCATAGCTCCATTGATATGGTTTTACCCAATGCAATGTAGTATTTTCCCTTTGATGTCAAAAGGACAGAGATACAGAGAGTTTAAAGTGACAGAGAATAAAAGTCACAGAAAATCAGTCCCAAAACCAGCAATGAAACCCAAAACTCCTGGTGATTACCTGCCTTAAACTCTTATCATGAGATCACCTCTGAAGTTTTCTCATTCAGGGTCCTCCATTTGATTTTTGAAAAATCCTGGTTGTAGTAGCCACCCAGCTGTGGATTATATTCTTCTAATCATGTTGGATTTAGAACAATTTAATCTAATATTAAGGGATTTTTTACTATTATATTATTAAAGAAAACAATACCAGTGTGATATGCTTAAGAAACATATTGTGAATTATTCTTATTTCACATTGTGATACCACAAAGACAGAAGATTAGTGAGCTTCTCTTCACATTCCGTGGTTAAAACAGACCAAGCTTATACAATCACTTCTGTATCTGCTCGTAAAATGCTTCTTTTTCATATCTGGGACTCTCTTTGTTCAGTGCCTTTTTTTCCTCAGTAATTCATGTCTTCTATACCACTATGTCATAAAAAAATGGAAGATCAGAGTCTTGTCTACAAAAAGACTTGTCTACAGCTCTTCAGCAAAGAAAATTTTATATATCCCTGTAGTTTCATTTGATGTTTTTAACACATTCATATTTCACTGATTTAGAGAAAGTACAAGCCAGTATCATGATATGGCTGTTTGTAACACAGGCATCTTAATGCCTTTAATTAGGACCACTAACGGGAATGAGGTGTAGGGGTCATGCACTAACGGGAAAAAAAAAAAATCCACTTATTTTAACCACCACTTTGTTAGCAAAGGAGTAGACTGAGAAAAAAAATAAAATTTCTCCAGACAGCAGTCTTGACTCCTTCTTTGGAAAATGATAAGGATGGATATTTATAGTTCCTGCTAGTACTGTATAAATATTGGAGAGTATCCTCCTAGCACTAAGATGCATACCCCATTAGTCCTTCTCTTCCTACAGTGGTTTTCCTTAACAGGGCAACTGCAGTGTCAAATCCTGCCAAGGTTAGAAGACAAAATGCAGCTTCTGAAATGCTGCAGCTCCTGTAGTAGCAGCCCACTACTGCATCCAAACAGAGATTTCTCCAGCCCTATAGCTCAGTCTTACTTTGTAAAAGCTTCAACCATTCATAATTGTGGCTACTCGCTTCAGCTATCAGCCTCACATTGAACCCTAAAGGACTAATACAAATCTTTAATTCAGTGGGAAAGCCATTTGACTTGTGCATAATTCATTGCATGATAAAGGATAATCAGGACTTCCCAGGCTCACGTTATCTACTCTGCTGAAAGCTTGCAATCTGCATATGGCAAGACACCTGGATCTTAAATCAACCTGGTATCCTATTGCACAGTAACCCCAACAGAAACACCCGGCATCATTTCACTGGAATATAGTACATTATGAAAAGTCTCCTCTCTACACCAGAAAACCAATGCTAAGAGCCAAGGCCCTCGTGCACATCACCTCAGCTCAAAACTGCTCACCTGCCACAAAGTCACCAAAGCCAACAGTAGTCAGAGTGACAACCACAAAGTAGATGGACTCCAAGGCTGTCCATCCCTCGATGTGTTTGAAGATAACTGCAGGAATGGTCACAAAGACAATGCAGCCTGCCAGGATGAAGAGGATGGTAGAGATCACCCGGATCTTTGTTTGACTCACTTGCTTTTTCTAGAAAAAAGAAAGAACAAAAGAAATAAAATATTTTTTGAGTGGATTTTGGGGTCTGTGAATACCTGCGAATGGCAGACTGGTCATGCTAGTGTCACCTGGTGTTTCTCTTTCTGTGTTTTGTGAGATGATTAGGTAGAAAATAACCCTCCCTCCTCATTAGGGAGAGCTCTGTGTGGGTAATAGTGAACCTCTGGGTCTGGCCCCAGAAAAATGGTGATTCACAATTTCCATGCAGTAGATGGTTACTAACCTACCAGAAACACAACCTGGAAAAAACAGCCCTGAGCTTCAGAAAGGCTCCAGTACACTCCAGTTTGGGTTCAATGTGCAAGAAAAAGTACACGTCCACGCCTCCACACACATACATGTACACCCACATTGCTTCACCAGCCCCAGGCATTCAACAAGCAAGACCAAGACTGGAATGAAAATAAACCCTTTTTTTCGTCTAAAACCCTGATGTTTTATGTAGAAATAATTCATGCTTTGGGTTTTCTAGACTTTCTTTGACTCAGGATTTCCAGCTTTCATTCACAAATATGAAGGTTAAATCTCCTTCTCAAAACTAGATAGCTATATTATCGGTTCACTCCAGAAATAAAGGACTTCTGTCAAATACCAAACAACCTGAAATAAAATTACCTATGCAAATCCACACTGGAAAGCTCTTGAACAAAGAGTATGTGTGTTACTGGCTGCTATAAACTGAATACAAATATGAGCAGTGTAATTGCAACATTTTGCACTCCTAGATCATATAAACTATCACTTTATTTAATATAAACTTAGATTTTATTTCCAGTAATACTGATGCAAACCTGGATTAGCACAACTGATTAATTTATTTCAGATTTTCTGTGCTGTAAGTACACTTAAAATGCAGTAGATTTTCACAAAAAAACTTGGAAACTACTAAAAATCTTCCTGTGGATTAATTATAGTGGCAGTGTAAATTCTGTATTTATCCTGGAAAAAGAATGTGGATGCCACTGTAAACCACATATTTTTAAATTAGTTTTCCAAATCAAGCATCTTCCTTAACCCAGAAAGGAGATCTCATTTCAGATTAGGGCATTGCCTAGACAGGAAATAAGGTCTCAGAAGTTATCTTTATAATATACAGAAGGGATATTGCCTGAACTGGTTAATATCTAACCAGACTGTGAGCAGTACTACCACTTCCACTAAAGCATGAGTGTTTATTTTATAAGTGCAATGTCTGACAGGTGCAATGAATGACATCATTAGGCATTCATCTGACCTGGTATGCTCTGCATTTAAAACTCAGGTAGCAGAATATATATACCGTGTTTCAGAAACAGTTTTAGTTCTGAAACTGTTTGAGATAATCCCTATTACTATTTTTTTTTCTTTTTGTGTGTGTGAATTGTTTTATGTGTCTGGATGAACAAAAATAGTTAAATAGATTAGTAATATAATGCCATAAATAATATTAGTCAAATACAAGACATAGAAAAAACTGCCACTGAAGTACCAAGGAGAAAAACGATAAAAGAATAGAAAAATATTACTTGACTTCTTATTTCCCCTTTTTCTGAGGAGCCATTTTGAGCAATTTGCTAAAATACTAAAGGATGATCCAGCTTCTTTAAGAGTTACGGACACATACTCACAATGGCAGGATTTCACCTTCCAACGAAGGTGCTGATTTTACTCTTAAGGCAGTTAAGTGCTAAACAAGCAACATTGCCGCATATGACATCATCTTGCTCATATTAATTCAAACAACCTAATGTCAGTCTGCTCCAGTGCCAAGAGGGGTGAGGACAGACTTTCTCATGGAAACATCCTTATCAGTGGAGTTTAGTTAGTTTAGTTCTTACACATCTTTTCCATCAATGAGTGTGACCTTGCTTTTTCCTTGTTTTCTATTACATACACTTTCTCTTTTTCCTATTTTTTCTCTCTCTATGGTCATTAACTCAGGCACAATTTTTCTGACCTAACTGTTGACAGCAAAAGGACCAAACAAGTTTCTTAAGTTCCTAAGATAAGGCCACAGGGATGATATATATTCCTTCAGAAATAGAGTAGATATTGTTTTTTCCAAGTAGAAGACATTAAGCATGGGATAAAAAGATGCTTCAGCCACTTTTAAGACTAGACTAAATGCTAAATATATGGAACATATCTTTGTTCCATGAACAGCATATTTCAAATATGCATATTCCAAGATTTTGTAGTGTCACCTCCCATTTCACAGAAACTCCGCCAATATACAGTACTACTAAAACAAAAATAGCACTGGAACATTTGCTGCTTCACAGTGAGATCATATGGTTCCTCTGTCTTCCAAACATTTTCTTTTCTGAATTTCTGACAAATATCCCCAAGATTCCAAGCAAGTTGTTTACCTTTTTTGCTAGATGACCAATGGCATATTTCAGTGCTAATATACTGTGCCTTCATGGAACATGCTGTCCTCATCTCTTTGCAAGACTCTGCATTTTGGAGCACTCTTCCAAAGAAAACATATTTCTTTAACATTTCTTTTGTCCCCTTCATCTACTCTTAACTTTATGCCCTCTCCCATGCTGCCAAATATTCTTGGAACAGATTGCCTCTGCCCATGCACTAATTAAACAGCTTGCCTTCTAAATCACTTTCTCCAGTTCAAAATATTTTAACAAGAGGAAAGCCAGTCTTTGTACTCAAAGTGTAAAACAGATCAGAAATATTGGTTCTATTTTTCTCTCTGCCACAAATATTAGGCATGTCCTTAGTCAAAACATTTTTGCCAGGCTAGTGTAGACAGTGCAGATAGACATCAGTTCACACTTCTTGCCCTTCAGGTCAGTCAAATGCAAGCCAACTCTGGTCCAGAGCCTGGCACATACCTCAGAAAAGTGCAATGCCCACATTAACCTCACTGCTGCCTACACCTGTCCCTGGATTTCTTTCTAACTGGTTCTAGATTCTTCACATTCAAATGAGACTGAAAGGAAATGTATTTTAAATAGCACCTGCTTAGAGATAACATCTAAGAACAATATATGAATCATATATTGTTCTTAGACCAGCACAAAAGAGAGAAAAAGAGTTTAAAAGGAAGGATTAGCGGAGAGTAACCACTGTGTCCTGACCCCAACCCCTGTGCTGTTCACTGCCGCAGTGGAGGGACAGTGTGACCTGCAGCAATAGCGTGGGTGGAGGAGAGGTGTCTGGAGTGAAGTGAGCCTGGGAGTGAAAGGGGGAGGAAAGGCAATTTGAATGTTTTCTTTTTTTTTTTTTTTTTTTTTTTTTTTTTTTTATTTCCAAATACCCAACTCTGTAATTAAAAATTTATACTAACTGGCAATAAATTAAGTTCCCCGAGGCAAGTCTGGTTTGTCTATGGCAGCACTTGGTAAGTGATTTCACTGTCTTTGTTTTGACCCACAAGTTTTCTCACTCTTGTTCTTCCTATTTTCTTCCTGTTCCACTGCAGGGAGGGGAGTTAGCAAGCGGCTGTGAGGGTGCTTGCTGCCAGCCAGGGCCTACTCACCGCATTAATGAAGAAGCCAACACCCCTTGAAAGCATAGCAGCAGAATTTTAAATAACGTATTTTAAAATATATATGACATTTCAAACACCTCCATGGGTTAAGAACAGTGGTTTGAACTATTCCACTAGAAACAGGCTTCCCCACTCTGTCTAACTAGCTCTTTTGGTGCCTCAATGCTATTTTAATTCTCATGTGTTATAAGGAAGACTGCTATTGCTGCACAAGAAGATGCCAAACCCATGCCCTATTTCTTAACTGTAGTAAGTACCATAGAGGAGACAGATATAAAAAGCTGTAAGCACTCACATTTGTTACTAAGCTTGGGAGAGACAGTCCTGAATACATGCAAGGCACGGGTCAGAGTAAAGAAGGAATTTTTTTACACTGCTTTTTTTTCCCATTAAACCACACTTCTGCAGGGTGTTTGTCTAGACCCAGATGGAATATGCAACAAGCTTCTCACAGAGCAGAAGCTTTCTCTAATGTTATTTTTGTAAATTTCTAGGCACGGATCTTGCTGCAGTCATAATGTGAGTACTGATACTGTGTTATGAAAATACAGAAACACTGGCATGGAAATTTTCTGGGCTTGATATACCTCTTTTCAGCCTTCTTCTTCTCTCTAGAAGGAACACATAGGGCTTTCTGATATGCACCAACTAATTTCTGCATGCCGTTTATTACGCCATTGAAAAAACAAAAATAACAATAATGAACCCAAACCTCTGTTCTGGCTGAGCTGTGTTCAGTCCCCAAAAAAATAAAAAAGTTGAATAAGAGGGATCCATGTATATATATGCTTTCCTCAGACATTGGAGCAGACAAAGGACAACAGAAGCTCATGGCACAGACTAAAGCAATTTCAAAGGATGATTGCAGAGGCCGAATTTGGAATATATTGCTTCTTCCTTCCTTCTTTCAATTCTCTTGAGTTACACCTATATTCCCCTCTCCCAGTGAGTGCAAGAATGGGTTAATAATGGTTGTTCCTTATCATTTCCCTGTACCTGAATGGGTTTTACCTTGTCATTCCTGGTAACCCTGATTTTGATCAGTGTTGAGTCAATTCTTTCATCTTGGTCATCAGGGCAATTCAGAGGAAAAAATAAAATGGAGTTATGATGGTGGAAAGAAAAGTGCCACATAGCAGCAAGGCAAGATTTGTGAGTATATGCTCAGCATCTAATTAAGAAATGCACTGAGATAGAGAAAGGCAATTAGTGTAGCTAGATCAATGAGAGATCTAGTTATCTGTTGCATGACATGGCCACTTTCAAAGACTTAACAAGAAAAAGAAAATTGAACTTCATGTTGGAATTATCTCTTCTTATCAGGGTAGAGAAATTCAATATTCCTTTTTTTATCTCTGAGCTTTAATTTTTTGTTCTTATTTTGTTTTGTTTTCTTCCTCTACAGTGGAATAAAGCATCCAGATTCCTTCATAATGTTGAGTTTTCAGAACTTTTCCCTAGTGATTAGGAATGTAACAAC